GTGTGTGTGTTAAAATGAAGTATGAACTAGAGTGCATACCCAACAAACCTCAGCCCCATGGATGGGGCTTAGGTGAGAAAATTTTGAAAAAATATTGCAACTCTCAAGATTCTCGATACCTGGGCAATTGTACAGCCGCTACCCTTAATGGCCAGACACACCATTTAAAGTTAGGATGTTGAATTCACAACTACAACCTCAGCCCTACCATGGTGGGCTTGATGTAAACATTCTTTAAATATGGCATTTCAAGATTCCCAGAAATAGCAAAGCAGCGCAGCTACACCTATTCCAACCCAATGCAGGAGCAGACAGGATTTAAAGTGAGTGGAAGTGGACTAGATACTATACCCACCTCAGCTCCACCATGGTTAAAAATGGTTCCTTTGCCGGGAAATAGTACATTCATACTACAAAAATGAATGTTCTTCGCTTTAGGGGTATAAATTTTGATTGAAAGTAATCATGGCTTTGTGTGGTGATGACAACTTGGTCCACTCCCACCCAAAATTATACGCATTTATATACTTCTAAACGATTTAGAAAAAAATTGATTAACTACTAAAATTAAGGATGGTCAAAATATTTTAAATGTACGTAGGCCTAGGCAAATACAAAAACAAATGCATGGTGGATTTGTGTTTAAATATATATAACATGAATAATACAGTGTGATGCGAAAATTAATCATAAATTCATAGGTATCAGTATATATTTATTTAAAAAAGTAACAGAACGGAGAAAAAGTGGTCCAGCCAAAGCCGGTGCGGTTCTGATAGCGAAACAGTTCATTTTGTTTGAAGTGAGGTTTATAATGGATGCTGAAATGTGTAGAATACTAACAATAAAAATAGAACAGAAACGATCGTGTTGGTGATTGATATCGTTAGACCTTTATTTTAAGAGCTATTAATTAGAAAAAATGGAATGTTCATAAGAAGTTCAATATTTGAAAACATCATAAAAACTATAAAATCCCAACATCAATGCACCATCATCACCTTATCCCACACGTACAGAAAATTCCAATATTCAAATTTCTAAACGATCAATCTATTTAAAAATATCAACCAGATGATGACAAACATTGTCTAGAAAAATTTACAAGGAATCCTATTAGAAAATAGTATTTAAAGTGATAGACATTCTCTTCAACAACAAATCTCTGGAAAACGAAACATTTACAGGAAAATTTAAATAAAAACCCACCAATATATACAATCATACTGTACATACATACAATATATTCAATATATTCGTTTCCTGAATAACAATTGTTGTACATCCAATTTTAAATGTTGGCTGGGACCATATCAATTAATAATTAAAAATTAAAAAATATATCCTATTGTCCATTCTATCAACACACTATATAAACCCTCAAGTGAACAATCCTGATAAACAACATACCATTTAAGAGCCGGTGAAAAGTAAGATTTTTACAATATAATAAATAGAAATATGAATATCAAATATTTACAGTACAATGTAACACTTAAATTTTGTTTAAATATATATGGTTTTATAGGATATTATATTTTGGACCAGTGGCGGATCCAGGAATCCGATATAGAGGGGGCCCAGACAGGGACTTGCACAGCACAGATGGAAAGTCTATACCACCACAGGCCCACCATGGTTGGGGCTGAGGTAAGAAAATTTATGATTATGGCACCTTTAGATGGCCGGAATGGCACTCTTAGAATCAAAATTTAAGTAGAATTTCCCCCCACACTTGAATCCGCCACTGTGGACGGTTTCTAACAAGGATTGCTTCAAATTAATGCACATTGATAAGAAATTCAAATGAAATAAGAGATGCAAGAAAAAGACAAAAATCAGTCAAGTCATTATATAAACTCTATTTGATTTTCTTTTCTAGCATTATGTAACCTACAGTAAGAGTAAAATAATTTTTTAAAGAATAACCTTTTAGAAAAAAATGTTATGAAACCAAGCATAACAACACGTATCTAAATATTAATGAATGTGCCATGATATAACTAATGGATGGAGTAAATAATTATTTCCTCCAGGCTAAAGAAAACATTAGTCAAACAACAATAACAATTTAAAAAAAAAAACACCAAAAAAACTAAAATATCAATGGCTTTAAAAACAATAGATCTATTTAATTGTTAAATGTGTTTGCAGTCAAAGCAAAAATGAACAAAACTATTTTATCATATCATTAAGCCTAAAATTTAAAATACAGTAAGCTCTTACAAAAATGCTAAGATAAAAACTTTTAAAAAAATTTCAAATTTAATTTTTGTCTCATACATAGAAACAACCATTAATTCAAACATGACAATATTGTTTCAATGATTTTCGTATCACTATAGAAATTCAAACTTTATTGAACCAAGTTCATTAAAAATCTGTGCACCATGAAACTGGTACTGGTATTGGGTATTTATATTGCGCCTTTCCCTTGCCGTTATGAAGCGCAAGCCAATCCTCAACAATTCAGGAAAACAATGGCAGGCATAAAATTAGTCATTATTCTGGAACCTGAAGCATCACAACAATACAGTCACACAAACAACAAAGAAAAATAAACAGATTACAACAATAAAAACACAAAAGGAAAAAGCAGCAAAAAAGAGACTTAGGCAAACAAAGGGTATACTAGGTTTAAAAAAATTACCACAAACATTATAAATCCATTCTCATATCATTTGCATAATTAGTCTAGGAATGTGTTTACTGGAATGAATTTTAAAAAGTAAACTATCACAAAATTATAAATTGAGAAAATGAATGATGAATCATTGGCCTTTAATCAAGAATTAAAATATCAAAAGAAATTAATCAGTTGATTTTTAGTGTTAAAGCCCAATTTATGATTAACATCCTCAGCCATTCAAAGAATAGCCTTGAGTATATTAAGATACCATTTTTATAGCTATAGGCCTGCCCATAAAGTCTCAAATAAATAAGTACAAGTTAAAATTAAAAATGCAAAAATTGATAAAATGTACTTTGCTGTTGTAGGTCATGTTGAATTTAATGGGCATTTGCACAATGCTCACGTCCGCACTCTGAAACTTTCAAGACTATCAATTTGCCTTCGCATATCGTCAGCTTCTGCCAAAGTTTGGTCCAGCCAAACCTGCTGTTCATCGATTGCCGATTTTAGCGATGCAATTGCCACATCAAACTGCGCTTGAGTAAATGCTGCGGACGCATCATTTATACGCTGCTGGAGTGCGGGTAACGATGATGTGTCCACATGATTAATGTTCCCCACGTCATCTAATAGTTGTTCGATCATCCGCCGTGAAGTACTTGCAGCTGTGGATGCCGATTGAGCGTCTGTAGATGCTCGCGTAACGAGAGATTCTAAGTTACTTATAGTCGGGGTGAACATTTCACAGCTCTCTCCTGCTGGGGCCACTAATGTCGTGTTGATGGTCATCACACTTTCTGTGATGGTGTCAATATTGTTTAAAGTATTAGCCGTTGATGTTGCGATTGCATTTGCCCTCTCATTCACTGGAAATAAAGCCTAAGAAAAACAGAATACAATAATTAATATTGTTCTATGAATAATAATTTATATGTCACAATACAAATTTCTCTGAAGTCAGTAACAAAAAATTTGAGTTGTAAATATCAAAATAAAATAATTAACTGTGGAAAACTTTGTAACCTAACGGACACAACAATTTTTTAAAAAAATTCATACACTGATCCTCTGAAGGGGGCGTTTATTCGAATGAATATGGTAAATACTGTAGCATCCTTTTTGGTGAACAAAACAAAGTGACATGATTTTGTTAACTGATTTGAACAGCAGAAGAACACTCTTTATTTATTTGTTATAAACATTCATGCAAACAAACTAGAGTGCAAAACTGAATTGTGAAAATAATCTTGTGGATTTTACAACAATAAAAAATATAAATTTACTTTTTTTGATGATTGATTTCACCCCTAACATCAAGAAAACATATTTACACTTAATTTTATTGTCAAGATTTAAATACACGTTGGTATTAAAATTATAATTACCATAAACTCTTCCTCTGCCATGGCATAAGCTGTATCAGCATCTTCCTTCCCTTGTCTTGTGTCGGCTTCTATTGGTGCTAGTAGAATCTCAAGTTCTTGTGCTTTTTGTAAGTTAGCTCCACTGCTACTTTGAATTGCATCAGCAGATGTCAGTGCCTGGTCTGCAGTAGCTTGTGCCGCTATGAAAAAAAAAATTACATTTTACAAATGACAAATAAATAATAAGAAATACAATGCTAAGAACAAAAATATTAACAAAACAAATAAAAAAAAAATTATAGTAAAATGATGATGATGATGATAATAATAATAACAACTAACAATAAATGTAACAAATTCAAAAGTCTAGTGGTTTTGCCTTATAACCAAAGTCTTATGGAAAAAGTGTATAGGGTGTTCAAAAAACATGGTTTCTCAACAGCTTTGGAAACCTAATTGCACCTTCCGCAATATGCTATTGTATCTGAAGGACAAACTGACACCTCAGCAAAAAAAAGCTGACACTGTTTGGCATCCGCTAAGAACAAGAACAATAAAAGAGGTTGCAAAGTTTGAATTGAAACCCTTCACCTGTTCAGCTAGCCAATCATCTTTATCAAGACAATTCAAATCCTCTACACGTTTCCCACACAAATCATTCCACTGATTGGGAATGATCCAACATTATTGACAGAGAGTCGGACAAAACTGCTAGATGTCTTTAGGAGTCCATTTAGATTGGCAAGAGGGGAAAAAAACACACTCAATAAGAACGAGGGGGCTTAAAAACTCAATAACACCTTTTGATCTCACACCCTCTACAGTTATTTCTTTTAGCTACAAAAGCAGTAGGAAAAGATGGGTTGCCACTCTGATGAAACCACTAGTTTAGTGGTAACGTTCTACTTTCATATTTGAAATTTGAAAAAAGAATCAACATTAATATTTTATTGAATTTTTTCAAATAATAATAATAATAATAATAATAATAATAATAATAATAATAATACTGTAATAATAATAATAATAATAACAATAATAAATATAAGTCAACATTGTAAGATCTGCTTCAGAGTTTTCAAACTGATTGATTGCTAAACCAGGAGAGTCTACACCTGCTTCAGCCCCGACAAAGGTCAGTTTCAAGTGATTGTAAAACTAGGAGTGTCTACACCCATGTAATGTACCCTATGGTCAGATATGGTACTTTCAGCATTACAATAATTATTTTCAATGGCTTTTACCTCCAACTTGTCTATCAAATGCGTTTACAACTTCTAGCATTTCCTCTGCAGCTGCAAATGTTTCCATGGATAGTTGCAACGATGCTGTCACACTGTTATTGGCGGCAATAACACGATTATAACGTGAATTCACGTTACTGATTGTACTATTCACATCAGTGATGAGGCTGTCCGTGTCGGAGCCAGCCTCTGCTACGGCTTGAGTGGTTGAAGTTGATGATGCTACTTTGTTTAAAACCTAAATAAATACAAACAATTGTTAGATTTTTATCAGCAATTTAATCAGAAAAAAACAAATATACATTGAAATGGATTCAAATACCAAGTTGGTAATGCAGTTGATAGTTGATTTATTCCCCTGAAGATGATTGAATTATATCGAAACGTTGAGGCATTCTCAACAAACAACAGTTCTTTTCAGAACTATCTACGTGGTGTACCGCAACCATTAAATATATTATTACTTCGTAATGCAAACCTTCAAACCAGGGAGGTATAAAAATAACATTTTGATTTAGTTCAATTTTTAGATTTCCAGTCTCTTTGTTTTTTTATGTGGATTTCCTGTTTTTCTATTTTTGGGGTGTTATGAAACAATGAAAAGAAATGATGAAATCTTTCAGCTATGTCTACATAACTGAAGCTGGGCACTCAATGTACACGATGGTCGTCGGCCGATGCGATTCTATGATGAACGTATAGCGATGATGCGTGCGCAACGGATTGTTTTTAATAACAATCCGTTCAGACTGCTACCAACAATCAGAAGACAGCGTTGCTTTGTCTATCACTTATAGGGAGATGAGTTGGATTCGTCATGCGACAGTCATACAATCGCCGTACAAACACAGTGATTGCACGGATTTGGGCAACCCCCTTCCTTCTCCTGATATACTACACAATAATATGATGATTTATGTCATTTTGAGATCATCATTTTATCTTTTTCATAAGAGTACACGTCTACTCGTCAATTCCCTCCCCACCCAAAGCATATGTTTTGTAGGACTCTTGCAAAAAATGATGAAAATAATGGATGGTCGGTAAGTGAATACAGAAATTTGCATACCACTTCCGTAACTGACTCGGCTTGCATTCCCTTTGAGATGGCGGATAGTGCTAGTGAATTCACATCATTTTCAGCATTACTGTTTGGAGTTGTTGCCATCACACTCTTCTCTCTCGCAAGCAAGTCAGTTTCTGTTACTCTCGTCTGCACTGTTTCTACACGCACTTGTGTGTTCATACCGAAATCCTCGACCTCACTGGCGGTGGTCAGGAGCATAGCAGTCCTTGAGGTGGTGTTGTCGTGAATAGCTTGTGATCCCTGGACAATCTGTGGGTCAAATTAATAAAAAGTGGTCAGTACAGCCTTGACATTTTAATAAAGGGAAATCCCCTACTCATTTGTGAAGTGTGTATACTGTGTTCTTTAATATGCACATCATGGGCCATATTACATACGGAACAACAGCTTAAACATCTCTTCTGACAGAAAGTGAGGTTTTTATGCTTGCATTTCAGCCATTAAGCTAAAACACAAGGAGAGCAATGGTGGAATTGAACCGGGTTCCAATGGTTAACATTTGATCTCCATAGTTTAGGGCACACAGAGTGGCTACACCAGTTTAGCCAACTAAGCTAAGCTGCTCTCTACAATGTGTGAGGGTGCAGACTACTGTACCTCAGCCCCACCATGGAGTTTGTTTGTCTTAGCAGCTCTAAGTTGCCAAAAATAGTACTTTCAAATTTCATTCTCTGTGATTTAACCGACGACTCACATTAAGTGTCGCCTCTGAGATTTCATTATTGTTCTCAACTATAAGTCGAAGGTCAGCTGTCTCTTTCTGAATTCTCCTGGTTTGAATGGTCGTTTCAGCGACTAAAGTGTAGAACAGGTCCTGCATGTCCTCCAGACTTTCCCTCAACTGCGCAAGGACTAAGTGCCTCTCATCAAATGTGCCTATGTTGTAAGAAAAGGACATAATTTAGCTGGTGAAGATGCAAAAATAATAATATAGGGATTTATACAGCGCCTTTTGGCAAGGAATACAAGGCACTGGCGATTGTTTTACAATCCCTGTTAACTGATTCATTTTAAGCAAACTAGAACAAAGGGCCACCGCCTCAACTCAGCAGGGAGTAGTCCCAATTTAATGCCGATACAGACTAATACATTCAATACCTCATCATCCTACCTTGTACCCATTTATACTCCTATGTGGAGAGGCAAACGTAGGTAAAGTTCCTTGCCCAAGGACTCAAGCGAAATTCACAGTGAAGGTTTGAAGGAAATTGAAAGCTGCACATTGTGTTACTGATTCTGTATCCAAATGACTTTGTAATATGTAGCGTCTATTCATATTTGACTTTTAATTTCTTCAATTTTAATTTTAATTTTATCAAAATATCTTAGCTTTAAAGTTTATACAGTATATTACAGTATTTCCTTTTCATATTAATTCTAATTTAACACAGCACACCTACCCTTCATATAAAGGCTTGGTAGGCATAATTTATTAGCTGAAAACTTTCAGTGAAAACTGAAAGTAAGTTTATGTTGTGGTCAGCAGTGTCAGGGCATTGGAATGTACAAGCAAATGGAGTGACCAGTCTAAGACTCTCATTGGTCGAAAAACCCAACACACTGCTGAGGTTACATCCCAGTATTTCAGTTAATAGTATAGTGGTTTTCATTTTCTCAAAGGACAAACATTATTTTTATACTCTCTCCGAAACAAGTGTTTTTATACTTTCAACTTTGTATTTTTCACTTGATTGCTTGATTTAATAAATTACAGTTAAACACAAAATTGGCTGTTTAGTCTTGTGTCGTCTATACACATTCAACATCCAAAAATACATGGAAAATGTACTACAGTACTTTAACTTAATTTATCACCATTAAAGTATGACAAAAATATGCAATTGTCAAAGTAATTTATAGTGATAGTTTGAGGTTAAATGTTCACTGGTGATGATAGATAGTATATTTCATGGGTAAATACCAATAAAAACAGCATTGTTTGGTCAACAGGTTTTTGTGCTCAATGGGTCAATTTCCATCTGATTATACAGTACAGTAATTGAATGGTACTGACTGGTACAGGAGTTGCGACATTTACTTAATTTTATGATGATCTTCTGAACTTTAAACACCCAATTAACTTGATATATCACACAGCTATATACAAAATTAATATAAATTAAAAAGCAAACCAAAAAATTTAACAAATAATAGTATGAAAATTAAGCCTTTGCCGTTCTATATATAGCCACATATGGCATATAACTTAATGTTTTCGTAAAAGTTGGTTTGCAGACTTCGAACCTGCAAGGACAACATTTGCAAAGCAAGATTATATGTACATAAAAAATAACAGTATTAATTTATTACCATTTTCCAATATTTGATATGTTTTTTGTAAATTAAGTTCAAAAGCTGCTATTGCCACAAAACCAGCAGTAGTATTGGCCTCGGTAGCCACTGCACTTGCATTGGCTATTGGTACCGACGCTGCAGCAGCATCTAGCGTTGCCATCAGCTCATACATAGTTGCATTCAACTCATCTAGGTCCATACCAATGTCTTGACCTTCATTTATCACATTTATCGACTGGAATGAGACAAAAAATGTTTAATTACTTCTTTAAAGTCAGGCTCCGGAGGAGAAAACATTTTTGATATGTTGTAGAACTGATTTTTCTAAGACACAAAAATGGTGTTTGTCAAAAAACTCGGAAACAGTTACTGAGATACAGATTGGTGGAAAAAATGGTGGTTATGTCCCTACTGGACGATTTAAAAATGTCTTTAATATGGTTATTAAAGTAAAACATTGTCCCAACAGAAAAAAAAAAAAAAATTGTTAAGACATGCAATCACTGGACGCAAAGTTCCCGGAACGTTGACCTTAGCGGCGAGTGTGTAAAAGCACAAATCAAAGTCGGAAGTGGAACCTTGGTTATGAATTGCTTGAATATTATTTTAAAATTCTTTCTAAAGGTTTCAACACCTCCACATTACTATCCCTCTAGAAGTCATTTTCAAACACACATTATATCATCAATACTCACATCAACAACAAGCTGTAACATCTGATTATATGTAGCTTGTAGTCTCTCAGAGAATGGACCAATCACGGACGAGTTGTCCTGTGATATCAAATATTCAGTACGAATGGTAGCATTCTGGCTTTCGGAGACTAGCGTGAAGTAATGGTCCCTGATGAGATCGTAACAAGTAGGACAAGCTAGGATAGAAACAGATAAAAGTTAGGCTCTTGAGCCATTGGCCAGGTATGCAAATGAAAATCTCATTATGATTTATGAGGTAGCACTTACGCACACAGGCAGCTGCAAAATTGTAGAAATTATATGTGCACCTATCGCATTTTAGGCCACCATAGTTACCAGTGCAGGGACACTGTCCGTCATCATTCTGACAGGAAGTGATCCCACCAGTTCCAGTCACATTGCAGGCACAGTCTGAAAAGAAACCAATACATAATTTGTTTAATGCCGGTCCAAAATTCAGACTTCATTTTCAATGCTCTGAACAAAACTTAACTGTTCCTACCTACTGATCTTATGATGTCAAATGACAATCCTTTATACAAGGTATGCATATACACAAGAAGCTCTATGAAATTAAACTTTGATGAGGTTTAGGGAACAGTGGATGGACCATGGAGGAATAAAATAATGGTTGGCAAGCATCTCCCCGGCATTCGACGCAGACATTGGTTGGTGTTAAGTGGCTGATCAGGGAATTCAAAACAGAGAGAGGGTACATCTACAGGGCCCAGGAAGAGACTTTCCCAAAATAAATTTGATTATGACCTCTCTAGATGGCCGGAAATGGCACTCTCAGCCTAAAATTTGAATGTAATTTCCTTTTTTTTTTGCTTTTCCTTAATAATTTTGAATAATTTGGGCCTCACTTCATTTATTTATTCGACCAACATTTACCATGATAATAGGATACAATATTAAAAAAAAAATTGAAATGCTGGACAGAGCTAGTTTAAAGTACACTGCTATAATTCAAATGAGCCAGCTATCCAATAAAATAATCTTTAATCCGCCACTGGTGTTAGCAGACAAGAATGATGCAGAATATGAAAAACTAAATGCTATTTAAATTTGTTTAAATAGTAATTATATATGTTTGAGCATGGAGGTATAATGCACTACAAAAGATAGCTATTTATAAACTGTTCTTTATTGTCCCTGAACATTTTAATTGAGTTTCTCAAATCGTCATAAGAAGAATAATATAAGATTCTAATTAATATATGTGATGATACAGGCTTATTTTATACACCATTTCCAACAAATTTGAAAAGAAATTTTCAGAGAACCTGGCAACTACCACTGGGGGACATCCATATTTATCTGTGGATGGTGCACAATTTCTTTCTAGTTGTCGCCTGGTCTTTGAAAACAAAATGCCAAAACAAAAACAAGAAGAAAAAAGAAAATAGGGGACCATGAAGCCTGCAGTGTTTTACGTTGTTTAGTTACTGTCCCCCAGTAAAAAGCTGCGTGTGTTTAGACGTTAGTAGTGCTGTTTCAAATACACCTGATAAAATGGTGTATAAATGGAGAAAAAAATGTTGAATTGTACGTACATGGTACAAGTATAGAAATCAATCTGTTTGACACAGAAATTACATTTGAGAACATAACATGTGTATACCTGCACACGCTCCTTCAAACAGCGTAGTTCCAAATCCGTAGTGGTCGGTAATACACTCCGCACATGCAGGCACAAGTACATTCTCAGCACATTCCTGACAGTTATCGCCTGCTGTACCAAGTTGGCATGCTGTACAGATCCCAGTGAGGGCATCGCAGTCGGTGGATCGGTCATTGCATTCGCAAGGTACACATGTGTGATATGGGTCAGCTCCTACGAGTGCAACAGCCGTTAGGTTCTCTCGCCGATTAAGCTGTGAACATGTTTCGCAAGACAAACCTAAAGATTGGATGAATAAATATGATAATGATGTATTGTTTAGTGTCACTCAATACATTAAATTTAATTTACAGTATCAATTAAGAAATTCATACGTACAGAGCACAGCATAATCAAAGCAGTGCAGCCCGTCTCTGTGACTCAGGGGTGTAAGCTGGTGCCGACCTTGGGGGAGAGGGGGTTAGGGTGCTAAAAATTGAGAATGCTGAACTAAATTCCATTCAAATGAAAAATTTAAGGGTCATTTTCAGTATATTGACCCACTTAGGGAACTAATTTGCCGCCATGATGGGGGGGGGGAGAGGTCCTGCACCCCCTTAGGTGGGGGGAGGTCCTGCACCCCCTTATTATACGCTCATGCGGAGACACCACTTTAACTAGTAAGCTATTAATTGCTCAATCAAAAGCAAATCTGTGTACGAGGTAAATTTTGTACAAAGCCCCTTATTCTTTTTCTGTAAAAGTCAGTCCTACAAAACTTTGATCCGATTAAAGTAGTAATGTAATCTTATATTCCTTTATTCTTTAATAAATCTCAATAAATTAATAAGGATTACAAACAATTTTACAATTAGATAAAGTTCACATACCACCAGTTAATGTAGCTTGATCACATACACATTCTTCGACGTATGTTACAGCACTGCCTCCGCCCCCATCAACCAATGGTTCTGCGGTTTCCATAGCAAAGTGATAGAGGGTGCTCACTGTGGTAGGGCCAAATGTTACTCGAATCTGGATGCTTGTCAGCTGAGCTAATATTGCTGTAGATGAAAATAGATAATTAAAAATATCTTTAAAACATGTCAGTCTTTGAACGACAACAAAGGAACGAGGACAATGCCTGCGGGTGTGGGTGCAGTCATGTACTGGGATGGTCTGACAGTTCTATATTTTGTCATAGGGGTGTTCTTAAATAGTCGGTTTATCCAGGTAAGTATTCACAAAATGGTTTTTTTTCCACAATTTTACTCAAGAAAATAAATAGACTGCAATATTATGTGGATAGATTATTCTTAAACCCAGGGATTGTCATCTCGATAACTTCCACTACCTCTTTATAATAGATACTATTGAAAGGGGTCTCAAGTTGGAAGAAGCCAATTCTGGGAGATCTGTTTGAATGAGCTTCCGGGAGATCTGTTTGACTGAGCTTCTGGGAGATCTGTTTGAACGAGCTTCCGGGAGATCTGTTTGAACGAGCTTCCAGGAGATCTATTTAAATGAGCTTCCGGGAGATCTGTTTGAATGAGCTTCCGGGAGATGTTTGAATGAGCTTCCAGGAGATCTGTTTGGATGAGCTTCCGGGAGATCTGTTTGAATGAGCTTCTGGGAGATCTGTTTGAATGAGCTTCCGGGAGATCTGTTTATATGAGCTTCCGGGAGATCTGTTTGAATGAGCTTCTGGGAGATCTGTTTGAATGAGCTTCTGGGAGATCTGTTTGAATGAGCTTCCGTGAGATCTGTTTGAATGAGCTTTCTTAGGAAATCTAATTTTATTTTGCTGTGCATGGTAATAAATACCCATCGGCACTGACTTCCAGGAGACAATTGATAATACAGTTAGTAAAACATGCAAGTTTCGTGAATTTGCTTGAGAATGGGTTATTTTCCGGGACATTCTTTTGAGAGTATGGGAAGCATTGCAATTTCAGGAAAATGCCCTTGACTTAAGGGAGACTTGGGACCCCTATATTTAGGGCATTAGTCTTCATTTGATTGTCTTTCATCACTTTACCAATTGTTGCATTATGATTAATAAAAGTCAATTGTATGTGAAAAATAAAGACAACACAATGCAATTTAGCTAAATTTGCCAGAACAATTAGCTTAACCCTTGACACCTCTAGCAGAACCTATGCAACATAAACAAAATTTTACTTGAATTATATTGTCAATAAATTTGAAATTAATATTGATCACAATAAAGAATAAATAAGAATAGCAATAAAAATTAAAAATGATTAAAAAAATTATTTTAATTATAATACCGAGACTAATTAGGAGTTGGCAAGTGGATATCAAAGAAAAAAGTGCCTCTGAAATATACAGTAGCTAAATTACCTTGAAATTCAGTTGTAGTGGGATGTGAGCTCCCATCAAACGTCCATTTGTCTTCTCGTAGGACAGCCACAAACTCTGTGCGGGTTTCAGATGGAATGAATGGCTCATCTATGTAATATAGTGGGTAGTTTTCAGGCCCACCTTGAAGCACTAGAAAGCGGTTGTCTATTTCTTCTGCAGGAGGCCCAAGATCTAGCATCATTGAGTAAGTGATCCTATTACTGTAGGAGCTAAGCTGGAAGCCAGTGTATTTTGAAGGTGCTATGAGGTAGACATAAGTGTTCTGAGCTAGGCCCGGAGGGTGTGAGATGCGCAGCCCATCAAGGTCAGGATTCAATGCAGTTGAATCACTAGCCACCCAACCATCCAGGCTGTAATCATAAGAAAATTGTTGACGTTAATAATAAAGTTGTACATATACCTGTCTCTTATACACATCTAGATGTGTATAAGAGACAGGTTAATGTAGCTTGATCACATACACATTCTTCGACGTATGTTACAGCACTGCCTCCGCCCCCATCAACCAATGGTTCTGCGGTTTCCATAGCAAAGTCATAGAGGGTGCTCACTGTGGTAGGGCCAAATGTTACTCGAATCTGGATGCTTGTCAGCTGAGCTAATATTTCTGTAGATGAAAATAGATAATTAAAAATATCTTTAAAAATGTCAGTCTTTGAACGACGACAAAGGAACGAGGACAATGCCTGCGGGTGTGGGTGCAGTCATGTACTGGGATGGTCTGACAGTTCTATATTTTGTCATAGGGGTGTTCTTAAATAGTCGGTTTATCCAGGTAAGTATTCACAAAATGGTTTTTTTTC